GAAGAAAATGAAAAGCTGCTGAGAGACGACAACAGGAAACAAACTCCATCGGTTCACACCACAGACTGTATATAAATATAGACGCCATGACAGCTCCCAGAAGCTAAACTGCCACGAGGGGATCGCCCCCTGGTGGCTGGTCACAGTATAGCTCATAAACCACACCCTCTCCATGTTAGTGGATGGGACATGAGCCAAACTAAAAAAATTGAAGTACAAATGAAATACATTTTTTCCCAGAGGTGATTTCTGCTGTTGGAAGATATTATCCTGCTGTTGTGTGTAGAAGTGGTCATTTTTCAGGTAAGGCTGTTTTTAATAAGTTATTTTATTATATAAAAGGTGGTGATTTCAGAAATGTTGATGCTTTAGTTGGTGTCTGATACATCACTCCCCCTCTGGTCGCTACTGTGCAGAATCTGGTTGCTAAATGCCAAGATGGCTGCCACCGTGTTCACTATATTTTGGCTTGACTTTTGCACAGTGGAGGGAGGCGGTGCCGCCCTGTCCATATTTGTATACAGTCGACACAGAGAACACAATCATTTTTAATCTGAACAGCCTTGTTCAGCTGCTTCCCAGTCAGTGATTCCCATCATTTCCACCAAACATCAAGCACTAGTCTGACTTTTACACTCAAACACCAGCTGTGCTTTAACTTTTACACGAAGAACACGCTGCACTAGGAAACTAACTTGGTGAGACATGAACCACGTGTTGGGAACCACTGGTCTGTTTGTTCATCAAAAGTTTTTATCATTTTGAAAACAAGAAAACACAAAATCCTAATTAAATCTGAACGTGTCCTGACTGAGGCGCTCTGTGAGATTAAATCTGTTTACCTGTCGGCGTCAGTGACCAGCGCCAGGCGGCCGTAGTCCCACGCAACTTTCCGTAGAATAGAAAAGACAAAGAGCAGCACCTAAAGCAAAAGAAGGCCTTCCTGTTAGATTTCTAATAGAAAAATGTAAATGATATAGGTCAGTGGTGAAAAAAGCAAAGGTCAGAGTAAATGTATCGTCCAATCGGTAACTTCCTTGAAGAAGGTAACCCTAATACCTAACCCTCCAGGCAGCCGCCACGCTTCACTTCCTGGTCACCTGAGGAGTGAGTAGACTGACGAGAGGCACGTCTGCAGACTCAACTCACATTTGTTTGGTGCTGTGTCCGATTTTGTCATCAATTTGCTTTGTGTCTTTGCTCATGTCTCCTCTTAACAAAATAAGAGCACTAGACTACACTCTTATTTTGGAGGACTAGAACAATTTCTGGGTCAAGCCAGGATTCATGCACCCCGCCCCCTCTGTGTGTGTGTGTGTGTGTGTGTGTGTGTGTGTGTGTGCTGTACTGAGCATGTGCAGTGGCAGCGGTGACTCACCAGGAAGCACATGAAGTCGAGGGCGAGCACGGTGGGCACCCCTCCGAACGGCAGCCCCTGCAGCACCGTGCTGCGGATGCGAGCAGAGTAACAGTAGTCTTTGGACTCGCTGTGGGCCGAGCAGTTCTCCGGCCTGCCGCACGCCTGGCCGATGTCAATTATTGCCATGGTAACAATCAGCACTCTGAGCATGCTCAATGCCGCATCCTTGGCAAGACCCTGAGGAAGCAGAGGAAGTACGTTCACTTTAACTTTATTAACACAACCATTTTTTTCTTCACAAGGTTGAAGGATGAAAAACGGCGACAACATAATTTATAATGGAGATAAAGAAGCAGAAACTGTTTTCTGTGAAAGGCAACAGTCAGAAAACAAATGACAAATGTCTTGATGTTTTCACAGAGACAGGAATCAGTTCACACAGACCCCACGTCATCAGGTGCACGTCTTCCTGCAGAGCCTTCAGCACACACCTGGGTGCTGCTGTCTGCATTTCCCAGCATGTCTGAGCAGCGGGAGTCAGCTTCCTCCTTGGTGACCTACTGATGCCGTTGCCACGGTAACCCTGACTGCAGCTCCTGACCCAGTTTTTATGCCTCGGTGGCCGTCAGCTGACAAACTTCGATGTCCCTCTCCCCTCACCTGTCCCTCAGAGGTCACATGACTTGTTTTTGTCTGACCTACTGTCCAAAGACCACAGAGATTCAGCTTACTTCCCAGCATGCATTTCACTGATATGAACACATGACAGGGGTAAAGCACAAGGTGTGTTTTTCCCCACATCTCTCGTCTCTCTGATCCAAACCGGCCTGTGAAGAAGGCAGCTCTGCACTTCACTTCCTGGGCTGTTCCTGCGTCTTGGGGCCATATTAAAGAATAATGTTCCGGGACCTTCTGTTGATGGTGAATGTCACTTGGTAAAACAATCCTCATTTGTTAACCAAGATTTCTGAATGGACACAGGTTTGAGTTAGTGAGAGCAAATCAAACTTCTGAATTGTGAAGCTGTATTATAATATTTAACTCAACTTAATTTAACTCTAAACTGGATCATCTCAAGAGCCAAACTTAAGGTTGAACTCACTTCTTCGTTACCACTGTGTTTTCTTTTTACAGTGCAACAGAATACAGCACCAGACTTGAGACACTGGACAAACCAGGGCATGACTTGAGCTTATCAATGATCCAAAATGTTTCTGACTCAACTGATTCCTGATCTGCTGTGCAGCGCCGCCCTCAGGACAGACCCTACATGTTCAGACCGAACAGCTATACGATGCTGCTTGTTTCTGGTGTGGTTGTGTGGCCTGTGGGGGGTGCTGCTGCTCTCACTGCTCTGATCTGATCTGGAATCTTCCACTGGTTCAGCATCATTCAGAGGAACCCCACCTCCTCCGCTCTGTTGTCATGGTGCAGCAGCTTGACTCAGTCTCCCAGCTGCAGACACAGCGACGCTGCCAGCACGGCCCTCATTGATCCTCAACACCCGCTGGCAGAGCAGGACACCTGGACCCCATTAGACCTCCACATCCGTAGGTTTGCCCGCAAAACCTCATTTAGCCTCATTAATTAACCTCCACCAGCCTCTGGTGGTTCAGCCCTGACCTCCACTGAACTCATACTTTTCACAATAAAAGCACAGAAAACCAGACATTTTACGCTGTGTCATGAATCTGCTGATGCTAATACCGTGCATGTTGTTTGCACTGGTTCCGCTGTGACATCTCACAGGAAACACTCCTGATCTCATGTGCACAGGCTCACAGCCGGATCGACACAGTCAGAACCAGCAGGACTGTCAGGGTCTGGTTCAGGCGTCCAACGTGGAGCTTCTTGTTGATTCAGTGAAGACACATGGAATCATCCGGCAGCTAAAACCAGCCGCTCTGCTCTGCTGCTGACGCACGCCACAGATAACAGGGTGCATATGTGCTCTGTCAGGCAAAACATTAGGTTCTGGACCGTCAGCTGACAGGAAGCATGACCGTGAGGTCACACGGACCACAGCGCCTCTGAGAGTTTACTGATCATCAGCCCAACACTCTGACACATGTCCAGACCTCAGCCTGCTTCTCTGACACAGGCACAGTGTGCGAGCTGTCGGACCTCAGAGCCGGACTTCAGTGGGACCATCCACGGCGGGCAGTAAACATCACACACGGGGTTTCAGAGCCGCGTAGTCGCTGTCACTGTGACAAAACGTCTTCGGCTCCAGCTGCTTACATGTTGTCCCTGGGACTCAAAGTAGTGGAAGAGATCTCTCGTTCCAGATGTTGAAAGAATGAACTGAGAAAGCTCTCAGCAGATTCAGTCAGTAGTTTCAGAAGAGCCGTGGCTGCATTTGTTAAAGCAGCGCACCCGGCGGGCCTCCTGTTACAGGTCAGCGTTAGGGTTAGGGCAGACTGAGTCAAAGCGCTGCGTTCAAGTGTACTCCTGAAATCTGTCTCTGTTTATTCTTCCTTCCCTCCAGGTGGATGTCCACACAGACTGGAGTGGTCAGTGAAGGCAGCGCTGCTTTACAGTCCACTCTCCAGTGTCGGATTTCAGAGCTTCCACCACACACAACCCTAACCCTAACACCTAACCCACACACAGCAGCACATTGGCCCTGACACGGGGAGAAGTCTTCCTGGGTCTGGATACCTGAGCTTTAGTCCTGATAAGGATGTGACATGTTTCAATTTGAGACGTTTGAACAGATTTTCACTGGACAAACGAAGTCAAAGTTGTTAAATGTCTGAAAACATTTAGGTTTGGCTTAATGATGGTTTAAACTGGGAAAAACCAGCAATCTCATAAATCTGACCAAGCGTGTGATGCAGATTAGTTCTGATATAGGCATCGTCAGTTTATAAAACTCCAGAAAACGCAGAGAAAACGTTCGACAGCTTCTCAAAGGTTCGTCTTCTCGGTCTGGTTTTGTTCTGGCCCCAGAGACCTGAGGAGCTGAAACAAGGTTCTGGGATTATTGCAGGCAAAATACTACAGATGTAGTCGGAGCAGAGCTGCTGATGGCAGGTTCCAGCAGCTCTGACTTGGTGCTGCGCTGGGGGCGGGTTAGGGTTAGTCTCCAGTTCCTATGTTTGAATAACCAAGGCGTTCAATTTGCCCCAGATGTGTCAGAGCCCGGATGCCCAGTGGGACTAAAGACCTGGTTGTGTCACATTAACTGTGGCGCTGCTGAGGCTGCGACCTTGATCACTGGTTCATCTGAGAATTATTTTCTGATTCCTGCAGAAGCTTTGGTCCGAAGCTCTGCACAGAAGTTTTACCCTGGTTCAGGTCCGAACATGTGTTTGATCCCACAGCTCCTGTGTTTAACCTCAGAGGCTGAATATATCAGGTCCATCACACAACTGGAGAGAGATGAATAAAGAGTGTGTGTGTGTGTGTGTGTGTGTGTGAGAGAGAGAGAGACCTGAGGCTGTCCTGTGCCGCCAATAGTTGCTCTCCTCTTGTTTCCTCTGTGCCACATGGAGACTTCAGAGCTTTGGGAAACATCTGATGTTTTCACCGTTTTCTGACATTTTATTTCCAAATGGTTTTGATTCTTCACGTGCTCACTGGTTTACATTGGTTTACACTGGTTTACACTTACAGCTGTATTTTAAACACCATTTTAGATTCATTTGGGCCCAGGTGAGGTCATCGGTCGTGGAGACCGGTTCTAAACCACGGGTTAACCACCTGGTTGTTCATTGTTCGGTCTTCCAGCGCCTTGGACACCACATTTTATCACAGAGACCTGTGATCACTTCTACAGGTGACGGACTAACGAACGGGATCAGTGTCGATTCTGACATGTCGCGTCATCTCCGGACATTCTTCTCACCAAGGTAACAAACAGGTGCGCCGATCATGTCAGTCTGACGTGTTTCCGGTCGTGAAACTGAATATCTATTTATGTGTTTTCCTCGGCCGATGCGCTGACCTGTCGTCCGACCTGATGAGGCAGCGGCCCTGCAGCACCTGCAGTCCGGCCTGGGCCGACACCACCTGCGTCTCGACCAGGAGGAGATAAAGCGTGTTGAAATGTGATAAAGCGGCTGCAGCCACCGGAGCTGGATCACATTAAAGCTGCAGACAGGC